GGATGCACTCGCGACATTCCAAAGAATTTTGAACCATGGCATTCAACGTCTCTAACCATCGGTTGCCACTGTCTCGTGGATACCAACCACGTAGTCTACATCTACCAACATGACTCAGTTCACTTGTCAGTGACTTCATGGATTTGTGTCATGTTTTGGTCTGGCCACGACTAGCTTTCTTCCAACCTACTCCGACACCAGAAAACATCGCACGTCGGGGCAGTCGGTGGTCGGGCATGCGCAACACATGTCCCAGCCATCTCAACTGATCAAGTCTCACTACTTCATCAATTGATTTGCCATCCTTACCTAGGACCCGTTTCCTAACAACTGAGTTGCTTACTCGGTGGTCCCAGGATATACGAGCAATGTTTCGAAGACACCTATGATCAAATACTAGCAACCTACGAATATCCTCTACTCTTACCAGCCATGTTTCACTGCCATAAAGTAGGATGGAACGAACTGATGCGCAGTAAACCCGTCATTTGCTTCGTAGACAGATATCTCGCCTGAGCCATAAAAGACGTGAGTTGGCAAAAGCTAGTCGAGCCTCCTGTATCCGTGCTGAGATTTCGTCACACACTAGGCCACAAGGGCTGATGAGACTCCATAGGCAAGTGAAGCAGTCGACACGCTCAACTACTTTACTCCCTATCATTAGTTCAGGCGTCGATTCAACCCAATGCTAAAGCAATATTTTGTATTTCGATGGGGAGAATCGCATGCCGAACATGCTTGCATTGTTGCTTATTGACTTTAGAATCCAAGACATGTATTTAATATGTGAATGATTTGAATGTTATCTGTCTATTAGAATATTTCTATTTCGGTTTTAAGTTTCAATGTCAATTATGGTAGAATACAACCCCATCGATAGACATTGTTCAATCCTAATTGACACACAATCTTATTTTTTGGATTATTTTATTAAGAAAGGTATTTAGTTTAGAAATAAATTGATTATTGGTGGCCGTTTAAAAACCGGTTGGTGGAAATAAGTGAAACAAATAAATAATGGAAGTTCACTCTGTTCTATTTACAAGTACCAGCCAAGAAACTTCATATCAGTGTTTTCAGTGCACGAAATATTATATTTATTTATTTTAACACATAGGTATTGGTACAAGAAGGCACCAAATACATATGCGCCACACAAATCTCAATTGATTTGTGTGAGGGTTGTGATACTGCTCGGATGCCCAAACCGAAGCAGGTGGTTGTCTTAGGGGGCCACACCCCGAGCCTTTGACCTAAAGGTCTAATCCACAAGGCAGTGGAGCATCGTAAGGAGATGTAATCTCATGGTAGCCGGTGACCAATGATTGGTTCATACGCCATTTGTTCCATCAGGATACTAGAGCCCATGTGCACCATTGGTTTGGGATCCGGTTAAAGCGCCGGACATTCGCTTTTCGTCCTCTCATTTTCTTAAGCAAAACCCTCGCCACGAGAAGGCAGTGAGTAGGACTTCCCTGGAAGAGGCTATATACTCATGGCCATGTGAGGGTATTTCGAGAGGGAGAGCGGACTCTCCCCACTCTCGGCCGAACCAGGGCATTTGGGGGCACACTTATAGTGTAATCCTCAAACCCAATTTTTTTTACATGGAGGCTATCTACGCTAGTCTGTTATGAGTAACGTGAGGTTTGTAAGTGTAGAAATCAATGAGCCTCGATAATGCGTTTTCTCTCTTTTGATGAGTGACTGGACTATGAAGACCTCCACATCTGAGGGGAGCACACAGAATACAATGGACAGCTTGCATGAAGCTTGACGATTTGGACTTCAAATATGACCTAGACCTATCCCACACATATGAACAAATATAGGTCAAGACAATCAGTGTAGCAACAGCCTCTGCATCCGTAGGTCTCACCATACACAAGGGAAAAACGAAAATCCTCAAATACAACACAGAGAACATCATTCCAATCATACTTGGTGGATTAACTCTGGAAGAGGTGAAAACTTCTACGTACCTGGGCAGCATCATCGATGAACAAAGAGGATCTCATTCAGACGTAAAGACAAGGACTGGCAAAACAAGGACAGTATTCCTACAACCTAGGGACATCTGGAACACAAACCAACTGTCGACCAACATCAAAGTCAGAATCTTCAATACAAACACCGAGACAACTTGATTATACGCAGCTGAAACTTGGAGAATTACTACAACCATCATGAAAAATGTAGAAATATTTATAAACGATCGTCTACGCAAGATATTCAATGTCCGTTGACCGGATACCATCTGTAACAGCCTACTGTGGGAGAGAACAAACCAGCTCCCAGCTAAAGAGGGAATTAAGAAAAGATGTTGGGGGCGGACAGGATATACATTGAGGAAATCAAACTGCATCACGAGGCAAGCACTAACTTGGAGTCCTGAAGGCAAAAGGAAAAGAAGCAGACCTAAAAACATATTGCTCCGGGAATCGGAAGCAGACAACAACAGAATAAATAGCGCTTCGAGGTAATCAGAGGGGAGACACCAGGACGGAATAGGTTGGAGATTTATAGTCGGTGGCAGCCCAGTACACAGTTGGTGTTTCATAAGGGGTGACAGGTCAAAGTAAGTAACTTAGAACCTGGCAAATATATATGCTGATTCAAATTGTCACACTACATTACCACAATGGGATGGAATTATCAAGACAAATGTCAGCGTTAGAAGTAATAACAGTATCACTAGTATTAGACGTACGCTCACATTTACTGTGTTGATATATAAATTCAGAAACCTTTTCTCTGACAACTTTGTACTTTTTATTCACCAAGAGTCGTGATATATTGTAGAGTTATTACACGAGATGTCAAACACTAACACTAATATTTGTACAACAAATCTAATGCAAACTAAAGATAGACAATGAAATAACACTGTAAACGTTTATAAAATAAGCACACATAAAGGTAGGAATGATGATACTTTTTCAATGAAAATTATTGAAGAACTTGTCTATAGATATAGTTTAAAAATGAGGATTGAGAAGTGTAAGGGAAAGTAACAATAAAAATAAGGTGACTAGTAAATTAAGAACAAAATGTTTATTACGAATTCTTGGAGCATGGTGGAATTTTAGTGCGATCAAATTCTAAAGTTGAAAAAAAATGACTCAGTGTTACTCTCAGAAAGGATGTTATACACTATCTTGTAAACCTTAATAAACTATCATATACTTACTTTCATCATGAAGAACTGGAGATTAATGAAAATCAGTGAGAGGTGAGCAACTGTGTTGTCCCAGTTTGAACATTATATCAGCAATCAGATACTATAAACTCATATGTGGTTAAAATTATGGTCAAAAATACGAAATGAAACTCGCTAAATACAGAATCGTATACACGAATTTGAGCTACACTTTGTGTGATATTATCCGACTGGTCAACCCGAAGTACTCATGACCTAGTGTTTGAAATTCGAATAACCTTACCACCGGATACAAAAAACACTCAACTTAATAGTAATAATGTGTTAACTAGCGAGAAAAGCTTAAGGCTAGATCTCTTGGGGCTAAAATTTACAGTAGTTGTAATCAGTGGAATCAATAATAATGGGAAAATGAGAAGTAAACTAACTCATCGATAGCAGCACGGAGTGAGAATCCTGTTAATATATCACAATTTGTTTAATACTGGAAAACGTGGACGACCATTTAATTCGCGTTTTCATTCTGTATATGACTACAGTTTGATGTTAGGTGGTTGGAGTCAAATGGGAGTATACCCTAGTTGACCTACGTATCGTGCTTGTTGGCACTCACTAGCAAGATGTGCTCTAATCTTGAAATAACTCCTGCTCCCTAATGGACTCAAACTCGGGACTATCAGTTTCACAGTTTTGGACATAACTACTGAGCTATTTTAGCCGTCACTAATTTCCTGTAGAATTGAGATATAATTGACTAGTCGCTGAAAAGTGGCCAACGTTATGTTTTGGTAGTCATTAGTGCCCATGGTGTTTCGACATATCAAAATTTTTATTTATCCCCAACTCCTATGCTATAATAACTCAGCTGAATTCTAAAGATTTGCAATGAAAATTTGTCCATAGAAAAACTATCACAAGATAATTTAAGAATCAAATGAATATCACAATATTATTGAACAATGAAATTTTTCGTAGAGATTCAAATGCTTTTGGATTGCTATAACACAGTATCAGAAAAATGATAGGGATTAGGTGGGAGCCGTAAAAAATTATGCAGGATAAAACGTGTACATCGAGTGTTAACAGTTATTTACTATGACAATCAATCAATTGTAGACCTTGGATAAGTCTAAATTGATGTATATCACATGAGCACAATGAGACAAAGACATACATATAGTGAGAACAAAAACCCAAGGCGTCAAAGTAATTATATTGATGATAGTGACGAATTAAACAAAGAGATAGTGAACATCATAATATATAAATTAGTTAAGAGGAAAATATGGAATAATATTAACAATTAATAGTTCAAGACAAACAATAAGTGTGTACTTCTGTACCAGAGCAGTCAATTTTAAGTCATATTACTTAAAGTTTCCAACTAAAGATTACAAATATTTAACAATCATTATATAAGGATTTTATTAAGGTGGAATAATGGATAGGACTGGAGTCCAACGCGTGCGTTTCGTTCTGTTTAGGGTACATCAGCTAGATGTATCTATCTCATTTCAATGTTGATAATAACACCGGAACTCGAACCCAATGTCTTTAACTTTAAACTCTATAATATTATCCACTGATCTACCTATTGAGTTCAGATAGCTATTAGTTAGTAGTTAAAGTTCATAACACTATCATCAACTGGAAAATACATACAAATGCAGTGTGTTAAGAATAACAGCAATAAAAACAATTTTGAACATTAAACATGACCTAATATCAATGTCCAGTGAAATTAATTAATGAATTTATACTCATTGGAATTGTATAAATTTGGAATAAAAATAGAAAGAAAAAAAGAAAGAAATAGCAGATGTTATCAATAAAAACTTACTTATAATATATGTAAAATTTACATGAGCTTTGTTCAATAGCAGCGACTTTTTTAAATAAATCCATATGAGGTGTATCCAACTGATCAACCAATGCCAATATACATTTCGTCTCAACACTTTTATTTACCCAACTCTGTATTTCAAAAAAAATATATGAGGGTATTTATCATTAAGAGATGTTGAAAAAATAGAATATTTACAAACTAAAAAACAAATCAATATAATCAGAGAAGGGTTTTTGTGGATATTATAGTAACTTAATGGTTGAATTCATGAGTCTAATTGAAGTTAGATCGCCATGGAAAACCTGAAAGCACTGAACGACCATTTCGTCCTAGTATGGGACTTTTCAGCGGTAGGCATCCCGGATCCCGCCTCGCGAGATTCGAACCCAAGATCTATCAGTCTCGTGCGCTAGTTCTTAACTACTAGACCACTGAGCCGGCATCCAACTGATAGGTCCTGGGTTCGAATCCCGCGAGGCGAGATCGTGGATGCACACTGCTGATAAGTCCAATACTAAGACAAAACGCTCGTTCAGTGCTTCCTTTAATTGACTCACGAATTCAACTATTAAATCAATATAAGTCAGTAAACAAGTACACACTTATATATATACTAAATTTTCACTATATTTCTTTACGTGGAATTTTCTTCTTTTTTAATCCACATAAAATCTAGTAAAATTAAGCTCTAAAAGTAGTGTGTGGTACAGAAAAGAAATTTGTATATAAGCTGGGATACTGTTTGAGTGTCCAAACTGAAGTACATGGGTTCTTTTAGGCGGAAATTCACTGAGTCTTTAACTTAAAGGTCTAATCCACAAGGCAGTAGAACGACTTCAGGAGATGAAGTTTTATGCTAGTAGATGACCAAAATTTATAATTATGTGAAATCGTTTGAAAAGACTATCATAAACCCAAAAGATCTAAACACAGAACTTAATTTTAAAGCTTAAGTTCACATTTTGAATGTAAGCTTGATGGATGGATGTATTTTTAAGGACCGAATGACTATGCAAGTCTATATCAACCGATTATTTAATATGACGATATCCTTAGAGAGAATGGCTTGTCCCTATTGTATTAATCATTTCATCAATCCATTTAAAATCTGATAATCAGGTTGGATTCTCGCTTACTATATAAATCCACGAGCCAAGTATAAAAATTATAAAACAAATATTATATTCTCAAAGTACAGCCAACACTTTACTGTGACAATAGCTTTCAACATATTTATCTTCATGAATATTGGATATTGTTTGAAGACACCTAGATTTTTAGCGGAAGACTAGATAGTTTTTGGTTCAAAATATCTTAAGAACGAACAAATAATAGTTAGGACAGGTGAGTCATCGCCAGCACACCTCAACGTGCCGATTGTGATATTACAAAGTAGCTGATTTTATTTTTTACGTGATACAAAAAAGAGACATGGTATAATAACGTCATCGTATCATTAAATAATGTGATTACAGAACAAATGGACATGAATATAACGGTGAATAATAAAGGCTTGATATTGACTACGTATAGATCATGTCTACATCAAGTCAGCCAGTCAGTAACAACGCAGAACTTCGTACGTACGTACATACATCAGTTCGAGTTGCCAAACCACATTAGCACACCGATACGATTGTCCATTCAAATCACATAGTGGTAGAGGTAGTAAGAGTATAAGCAGTAATCGGAAACATTACTGTTTCAAGATCTTATTAAAGGGGTATCATCCAGTGAAATAAATTTGGAAAGAGCAAAAAAACAGGACATGAAGAATTCAGAAGATTAGAAATTGAGAGAACACAAAGAATGGATGCACTCGCGACATTCCAAAGAATTTTGAACCATGGCATTCAACGTCTCTAACCATCGGTTGCCACTGTCTCGTGAATACCAACCACGTAGTCTACATCTACCAACATGACTCAGTTCACTTGTCAGTGACTTCATGGATTTGTGTCATGTTTTGGTCTGGCCACGACTAGCTTTCTTCCAACCTACTCCGACACCAGAAAACATCGCACGTCGGGGCAGTCGGTGGTCGGGCATGCGCAACACATGTCCCAGCCATCTCAACTGATCAAGTCTCACTACTTCATCAATTGATTTGCCATCCTTACCTAGGACCCGTTTCCTAACAACTGAGTTGCTTACTCGGTGGTCCCAGGATATACGAGCAATGTTTCGAAGACACCTATGATCAAATACTAGTAACCTACGAATATCCTCTACTCTTACCAGCCATGTTTCACTGCCATAAAGTAGGATGGAACAAACTGATGCGCAGTAAACCCGTCATTTGCTTCGTAGACAGATATCTCGCCTGAGCCATAAAAGACGTGAGTTGGCAAAAGCTAGTCGAGCCTCCTGTATCCGTGCTGAGATTTCGTCACACACTAGGCCACAAGGGCTGATGAGACTCCATAGGCAAGTGAAGCAGTCGACACGCTCAACTACTTCACTCCCTATCATTAGTCCGGGTGTCGATGCAACCCAATGCTGAAATAGCAGTTTGAGGGAGAGTATCGCATCGCGAACATGCTTGCATTGTGGCTTATGGTGGTCAGAAGACTCTGCATTTTGTCAACGTCTATATCAAATAGAACTATGTCATCGGAATATTGTAAGTCAACAAGTGAATCTCCCGGTAGATGTTCAACTCCTGGAAATCTAGATGAGGAATGTATGATATCTAAAAGCATGTGAACATAAAGTTAAACAAGAATGGAGAGCGTGGATAACCATGACGAACATCACTTGAGGTAATCAGTTCTGATGACAGGTTGCCATAAGTTCTCCCCCGGCCAGTTGTGTTCGAGTAGAGAGCCTGTACAGGGCTAATGTACTTCTTTGGTACTCCTTTCAGTGACAAACTCTACCACCTCACGATAAACAGAGTCAAATGCCACCTTAAGGTCGAGAAATACTAATATTGTGGGACGTCTGAATGTGTGTCTATGTTCTAGGACCGGACGTAGTGTGAATATTTGGTCTATACAACCACGTCCAGGTCGGAAACCAGCCTGGTTTTCTCTAGCCTGCTCTTCACGAGCTTTAGTTAGTTTATTTATTTTTATTTATTTGAACACATAAATATTGGTACAGGGGGGGGCACCAAATATATATGCGCCACACAAAACAATGAGAATTTAAGAAGGGAAAAAAAGTAAGGAACGAAGGGGCTTATAAAATAAAAAAAAGAACAATAATCGGGGGAGACGAAAAAGGTACAATCAGAAGAAATCTTACATTTACGGAGGATACAGCCACTTTTTATGAAGAAAGTAAAAGAAGATTACAGCAGGATCGCCACTGGCTTCTATTCTGAGCCATATCTGATAACGTCTCTAGCCAATGTGTTACACCGTCTCTCGGACCCCAGCCAGGGAGTCGTGAAGGACCAACACAAGCCAGCCCTTCGCAGCTTTCTTTCATACCACGACACCATGTCATATACTGACCAGCTCTCCGCTTTTTCCAACCAGTCCCAGGGTCGGCAAATAATGCACGACGTGGAATTCTCTGGGACGACATTCGTAGAACATGTCCAAGCCACCGAAGTTAATGTTTCAAGATGGTGACACCAATTGCATTATCGTCTCTGTGCCCGAACACACGATGCCGAACCTCTGCATTACTAACATGGTGTTGCCACTGGATGTTAGCAATCCTTCGAAGACAACGATGACCGAACACAGAGAGTCGTCTAACATCCTCAACTCGGAGAGGCCAGGTTTCACAAGCATAGAGCAAAACTGCTCTCACCGACGCGTTGCAGATCCGACCTTTCACAGCCAGACTAACATCACGAAGGCGCCAAAGATGGCCCAGATTGGCATAAGCCGCTCTGGCTTTCACTATACGTGCATTGATCTCATCACTCACACCACCACCAGCACTTATGCAGCTGCCCAGATACACGAACTTCTCGACTACTTCTATCTGCTCACCATCCAGAGTGAGTACAGGATTAGAATCCTGCCAATCTTGTAGAAGTACTTTGCACTTCGAGGGTGAAAGCACATACCATACCTACGGACATTGATTGCCAACTGATTAAGTGCGGATTGCATGGCTTGGGCATTATCGCATAGTAAGACAATATCATCAGCATACTCAAGGTCGAGAAGTCTTTCTTCAGGCAACAGATCCACACCACCATCATTTACATCCATCAGAGCTGTTTCCAGAATGTTATCGATAGCAAAGTTGAAGAGGAATGGTGAGATTGAGCAACCCTGTCTAAACCCACTGCTCGAATGGAATAATGGAGAAAGGTGGTTGTATGCCCTCACTCTGCCCAAGGTGTTTGTGTATAGGGCTTTTAGGATGTTAATAAACTTCTCAGGCACACCCTTCTTCAATAGACAATCCAAGAGAACAGTCCTATCTAACGAATCGAAGGCAGCCCTGATATCAAGAAACACTACGATTGTTGGCCTTTGATAAGTATGGCGGTGTTCTAACACTTGGCGGAGGGCGAAGATATGATCAATACATCCTCGACCAGAACGAAACCCAGCCTGCTCCTAGCGAGTCAATCCTTCTCGGGTTTTGAACAACCTACCAAGTATAACGGAAGTCAACAGCTTGGACGCAATCGGAAGTAGACTTATCCCCCGATAGTTGTTACAGGAACGACGTGAACCCTTTTTAAAGATAGGGACAACTATCGACTCATTCCACGACGTTGGTACACTCTCTCTAGTTCCCAGACCTTTGCAAACAACGTCGTCAGTCCCTTAGTCAGGAAGTCACCACCATCTTTAAAAAGAGCCGGAGGTAATTCGTCTGGGCCCCGTGATTTGTAACGTTTCAAGAGTTGGAGTTCCTTGCGGACTTCCGCCTCATTTGGTGGATCAGTCGTCACCGACCATGGAGGGCAGGACAGTCTGACCGATGTTGCCGGAGCAGCAGGCCAGTTGAACTGCCCTTCGAAGAATCCTGCCCATCGTCCAAGACGTCGATGGATGTTAGTGATTGGCGTCCCGTCATCCTCGCAGATTGTTTCGCTCACACCAGACTTCTTGCTGCCAGTGGCTCGGATGAGTTGGAAGAGCTTCCGGCAATTACCAGATGCAGCTGCTGCTTCCAGCTCATTAGCACGCTTCGACCACCAGGCTTCTCGGTCCTTACGCAAGCTTTGCCCGATTTCATTACGTAACATCCTTCGTTTGTGGTCAAACTCACGGTCACCCGGAGTAGACCAACGGGCTTCCATGAGTTGTAAGGAACCAGAAGAAACCCAGTGCTTATAAGCGGGACGTTTCGCGAACCCACAACAGACTGTACCCGCCATTTTCATAGCGTCATGCAATTGCAACCAATGCTCATCTATACTTTTCGGTGGAATGGTAGCTAGCCTAGAAGCTGGCTCGGTTCTGTACTTACTAGCAACAGAAGTTGCAAGCAGCTTGCTAACGTCAATCCTTTGGTGGCGGTCACTTCGTTGTCCACTGAAAAGTAAGGTCAGATTGGCGCAAACCAGAGCATGATCAGATTCCAGATAGGTACTCCAAAAGGAGCGGCAGTCTTGTACACAACCACGCCAGCGGTAGCTGATCGCGATGTGATCAATCTGAGTCCAGGCTTGAGATGCAGAAGGAGGACGCCAGGTGGCACATCGGCGATGACTGTGCCGAAAGTTAGTGCTAGCCAGAAACAGGTTGTGGTCTGTGCATATTTGCAGTAGGCGTTCCCGTTATCTGTCCTGCGACCAACAAGTCCCCATCGGCCACCTAAACGACTCTCTTCTGTGCCTAGACGCCCAACCTGAGCATTCAAGTCTCCGGCTAGTACTACAATATCTGTCGAACGCACTTTCTGGAGAAGAACAGTTAACTGGTGGTAGAATTCACCCTTGATTGCATCCGGGTTGCAATCTGTCAGGGCATAGGCGGAGACGACGAAAAGACATCGTTTCTCACGCTGATTTCTTCTCACTTTGATGGTACTTTCAAATCTAACAGCACATAACCGACTGTTAATGGGGATCCAGTCGACTAGTGCTGCCTCAGCTCTAGCGCTTAGTATGACACCAACACCAGCAGGACCAGACAAAGATGCCACAGGGTCCCCGGATAAACGCACGTAAAACAAGCTTTTTGAAGTGACAGATGGAGAGCGAATTTGTAGTCTTGAATACGGGTCTCGGATAGACAACAAACGTCAATATTAAGACTTTCCAAAGACATAACCAGCCCTATCTGTTGTCCGACCTGCACAAGTGTGCGAACCTTAAAGGCAGCCAGTTTAAATGGAGCGCGTGGTTTCGGAAAAACTGCTTCAGTACTCCTATTCGATGGTAACATACAATTTTCAACCAGGCAGTGACACGAGAACGCTTAGATAGAGCCGAATGCCCACCATAGGCGAGCTGCTGTATAAGTCGAAAAATAAGGATAGACAGAGTGGAAATAAAAGAGAGTGAATAAATAACGTGGTAAATAATAATAATAATAATAATAATAATAATAATAATAATAATAATAATAATGTGAATTGTTTGACGGTAAATCGCGGCGTGAATAGAGTTTTCAGAGAAAATCATCATTTTCATTATATTTGTGTGTGGTGCCCAGACCGAAGTAGGTGGTTTTCTTAGAGGGCCACACCCCGAGCCTTCGACCCAAAGGTCTAACCCACAAGGCAGTGGAACATCGTGAGGAGTCCCATGGAAGCCGGTGACCAAGAAATTGGTTCATACGCCATTTGTTCCCGCAGGATACTGGAGCCCATGTGCACCATTGATTTGGGATCCGGTTATAGCGCCAGACGTTCGCTTTTCGTCCTCTCATTTTCGTAAAGAACACCCTCGCCACGAGAATGCAGTGTGTAGGACTTCCCTGGCAGAGGTCGTATGCGCGTGGCCGTGTGAGAGTATTTCGAGAGGGAGGGCGAACCCACCTCACTCTCGGCCATACCAGGGCATTTGGGGGCAGCTTTGGTTAGGCGTCGAAGTATTGTTAAAGCTAATATTTTAGACACTATATTAATCAAACTGATCCCTCTATGATTATCACAAGAGGACTTTTGTCCTTTCTTATTGAGACCAGTCAGATGGGATTACGTCCAGTTTCCGGATTCTACCTAAGACCTCAGTCAATTTCACTGTTAATATTGGACAGCCGACAGTCGAAAACAACACTGGTTGGTTGGAGTGAAGTTCAAATCGAAATTGTTTAGAGAATCGAACGTTGCATGTGACTAGAACTTTTATGGTTAATCGTTATTATTTTTACTAAGAAAATGTAAGGTAAGATAATATATTTTGAAATTATCCCTGGTGTTGAGTTGTTTGATTACAGATGGATTAGAGCTTAAAAATATCTTTAAAAATTTATCAAAATTAACAGCGATTGATATTATTTTGATGATTCAATAGGTTTAAATACAAGATTCTCAGTTAATACGTAGACAGTACATATAAATCCAGATAGCTCAGAACTACGCTTAATCACTTAATATTTATTTTAATCCAATACATAGATAACAAAGTCATGCCTGATCACTGAATTATAGTAACAGATTTCAATCGAAATATAACTCATATAACCGGATATGAATTAATAATTTTACTCGGGTGCTCAAGTCAAATTATCTGAATTAAGGTTTACACATGTAACTCAGTGGTTGGAAGTAGTTTAATCACTATGTAATGACAAAATAATAATGTTAACAGTAAATAATAGTGATAATGATAATAATGTAGAACATTTATCAATCACATGTATATAGACTGAGCTATTAGCTACAATTTGTGTAAGGAGTATATATAGAAACAGGCTGCTGAAACCCAAGTACAAACAGTGGAATTCGAGTCTGTGATTTAAGGATCGAAAATTGAGTTTTTTTAACATCAAAGTTTAATTTAACCATTAAGCGACTGGCTTACTTATACTTCAACTTACACCACAACTCAAGATTTTATTATTAAGAGTTCAGTAGGACGTTGAATATTACAGTATAAATTATTATGTAACTCGAAAAGAACAAAATTTATAGTATTAATACTTACATCCAAAATTGTTGTCGGTTTATCCCGATGACCATTGATAATTTCAACTGGAAACTTTAGGCTATCTTCAACAAATTTAACAAGTGCCTCAACACTTCTTTCATTACGATATTCACTTTTTAGCATTTTACCATATTTTGTAATTTTAATTGTAGGATATTTCCGGATATAATGTTTGGTGCATATATTTTCTAAGAGTTTCGAGGAAAGGGGGAGTTAAGAAGAAACTATCAGTGTTAAATAGGATATTCATATGTAAACACGAATTAGAAAAGAACAACGGCAGAGCACAGAACAATCAGCAAGTACAGTATTACTTTGAGAAACGATGAGCAATGTGTAGCTCAAACATTTTTGTCATTGTAAACGTTGTCATAGAACATGCTGTACTCAATAAAAGTTGTCAATTTTAAGATAACTAATGGTTACCCGATTGCTGAAATGGAAAGTAACTAGTCGAGTGAATGGAATAAACGGACGGATCTAGTTTACACAATATATTTTACTTGGTTAGGTAAAGCAGTAAATAACCATTGCTGCTAATTACATATTTAAAAGTGACAGAATAAGTGGAATTCAGAATTAAAAAGTCAATTAAACTAGGTAATAGTATTAATTACAAAGTTTATGGCTAATGAGCTATGAAACTTAACGGTAAAAAGTACTTGAGGTTAAACCAGCGGGTTGCAGGTTCAAGATCTATTTCATCTACTGTTTGAGGGTTGGCTAATATTATCAGTATTAATAACGTCATTAGCCGTTGTCAAGGATTGATGTGAATGTTACTGATCATTAGGATTCCTTTCTCAGTATATCGCGCTGAGGTGAGTAGTGATTTATGTAACATCCCAATCACCTTGGTCGATAAACATCTATGAATCTACCTTGTTTACCAAGCAATCTACACCTAACATTAGGTTTATACACTCAGTGGTTTTTCCAACAAACCTATGATTTCATCATCATAGCCTACGGATGTATTTTTTACGTCTAAGTTATTTTTCCAACCAAAGTAATTAAAATGTTTTGTAGACACACTTAAGCAGGCAGTCAGTTACCTCCTTGACATCTAAATGTGCAAAGGTGAAGATACTCAGTGAAAATAAAGTTATTAAGAAAGGCAAATTGTGCAACTTACGACTACTTTCACAATCTATTGAGATAAAAGCAGCTTTATGACTCTAAATAATAGAAGGGAAGTCTATCAAACTCTATAGAAAAACTACTTTTGTCAATTCAGTAATCTTATCCGAGGCCTGTTCATAGATTGGCGCCAACATTTGGCTATAATAACACCATTCTGCTGAGAATTTCAGTAATGCTATATCATATTCAGCTGATGTAAGGCAAAACAAGAGAGTTAATTGAAAACGACAAGTACTTACATATTAGTGAGTCGAAGTTAGTATCATTTGCAACCAAAACAACTGATGCACAGTAATCAGGTGCATTCTGGACGAGATTGTAAACAGAAAATAAGTAAAAAGATGAGAGGTTGTCATTTTACAAAATGAATGTGATTAAGTATATTTCCCTTATCCCTCTTATGTAGCTTATCAATCAACTACAGGTTAGTGTACTCAACTTTGAACCGCTTGTATGAATAGGTGATACAACCCCGATGGCCAAACCAGTCTTAGTAGAGGGAACTTTGAGTATGCAACCAGCTGGTCGGGAAACGATAAAGTACGGTAAATGAATTAAATTTTTAAAACAGGTTAATTCCCAAATGAGAAAACTTAGTTACATGCTTTCATACAGTCTAGACGCATAACTTGGGCTACAAGTTTTATATCAGCAATACGTACAAGACTACTGCCTAATTGGATGTGAGACGTTTACCGATGTTGTAGTATTTTAAAAAATCCTAGAGGTCATCAGGACAAAGTATGGTACTGCTTTATAAAGTTGTTAATTGCTGAACTATCTGGAGCTTGGGAACACCAAACTAAAGGAACCCATTATAGTTGTATTTCTTGATATTAGACAAACGTTTAACTCTGCCAAATAAGAGGTTCTGCGACAATTTTTTCCATTAAAAGGTCTATGAAGCAAAAGCACAAACCTTGTGAGTGCTCTTTACTCAGACATTATGGATCAAATTAAAGCTTATGATGGAATGCCATCAGAACTGTCAACCTCAAGTGGTTTGTCAGGGTTGTCTACCATCCCACTTTACTTTTGTCATCGATGTCCTTCAAGGAACCACACTTTTTTATCCAACTTTATAGTGACTGAACTCCCAGCATAAGGTTTTCTTATCAATATAGAACATGCAGATTACATAATTTTATTTGAGGTATCGAAATAATGCAGTTTTCTGGTCGCCCTGTTAATAATGCAAACATATGAGATGCATTCCTCTTATTCTTAACTTAAAATGTTATTTTAGAATTGGTCTAGATCATCTCCTAAATTGATGATATGGAGTGAAGTAGTTAAGTGTGCTGAATACTTCACTTAACTTGGACGTTTCATCAGCCCTGATAGATTAATGTATGATGAAATCTCAGTACAAATTTAGAAAGTTTACTGAACTTTAGCTAGCGTGTTTTACATGTGGTGTAGGTAAAGTGATTATCTGTTAACCAAAGGGATAGTATACTGTGAAGCAGGTAAACATTAACAAGAGTGAGTTTGAGTGATTCCTCAGATGACCTTGACAAACCCCTGACCGCATTTAATAAATTAGAAAACAACAAATATGAGTGATTTGACATAAACCTAGAGGCGAATTTGGCGATAGGATCCAAATTTAGGATTTATTATTAGGGCTTGACATTCTGATTAGGTTTTACGGTTGGCCCATATGTTACTTTAATCCCAGATCCAGAACTTTAGTCTCAAACCATAAATCCTGATCCTAGCTATAACCTTAAGTTCAACACATTTTTGTCGGTAGGACTAATTATTCGCGTTCGATAGACAATACGTCTTGATATATGTGTTGTGAACGCAGTGTCGTTTGGTTTTATTCTTTTACTAATTGTAAAGCACTGTTCGTATTCTTGAGAATGGCAACTTTCACTAATTGAGACATCATGATTATCTAGATCACCGATGAAGAATTTTTCCAGGTTATAAGTTGTTTATGAGTGACTGGAAAACTTAAAACTTGAGTGTAAAACATTGTGGTCATTAAGTGCACAAGAATATTTATCTTAAAGGTACTAAACAACAGGAACTCAGACCTTGAACAGGATGTAAGGTGTTTTTATCTGCATACACTCTAAAATATTCAGAGACCTCTGAAGACAAAGCAAAAAGACTACGAAGAAATAGCACTTGCTTCTATTTTTACTTCATTTACCTATGTCTAAACATAAAAGTACTAAAAATAAACACATTTAATGTATCATAGATAAGTTTGATTGGACTATCATCATCTTATGCAAAGTTGGCACAAACACTACGATCAGTTATTCATGCAACCTACCGAAAGCATAAGGGTATGCAACAAAAAGGATATACGCCATCTTTTCTAAGTGAATTTATTGACCTTGATATTAAATTATTGTCATTCTCCATCACTTCGAACTGTGCTGCATACCCGTGCAGTAATATACATAGGACTTTAACCGATGTAGATAGACTTAAAGCAAGACAGGTGTTGTCCCCATATTCATAGAAACAGGACTATCAAGTTAAGCATTTAATTCATAACGCTTGTTGAATCGTAGGGTAATATGAACAAGCAGTATCATACTGTCTACATAAAGTTAAACTTTTAAACAATAAGAAGTCTATAGACAGTTAACATCAATTTCGCAACGCTCAGCATCTTCCTACTTGGTGTAAATTGTTTGAACCGAGTCGCTGTGACGTATCCAAATCAACCAATAAAAAGGAAATAAATGCGAACAAATGGGAAATAAAGGGGAAAATGAGTTTGAAAATAATGGCTTGAACATAGATATATTGCATTTCTTTACATGTTTTATACTGGAAAAGGTGACTAGTACATAAGACATATAAATGACTCTATTTGCTAAATTAAACTCTAAAACACATACCGTGAGAAGGACAATAGATAATACGCACCACCAGATAAACATCCACAAGCCAGTAAATTTTTGGAACTGTGTAACGGTTGACGAATATGATTTCAGTTGATTCAAACAAACCTCAATAATTCATCAACGGTTTGATTTTCAATGCCCGGTTACTTGAGAAGTAGCTGCCTATGCTACCTCACACGTATTCGCATTTAATAACAGTTAACAATCATCTTCAGGAGACAGTATCAAGTCTAATATCAGGCATCGTTGTTAATTTTAATAGCTCATGTTTTATTCTGAAAAGACATAGAACAAATATTCAAGCAGAATAAATTGAATTCATTTTACTTCATTTGGTTTTTTGTCAACTGCTTACAAGCTATGATATTTCAAACACAATTACAAAATGGGTTAAAATAACTTAAATGAATGAGTTCAGCCAGATGTTGAGGACACAGTATATTGTAGAAGAAAATTCTACAACAGTGATTGTGAAAAAAGTTCAAACCGTCAGAAACAAGTGATTTCATAATGAGTTAACGTTAGTAGGAATAAAATGAGTAAAGCTCAGTTAATAAAATAACTCTACCAATCTAGAAGACAGTCAAAAAAAGGAAAAATGCAATAAATAGTTTAAAAGTGTTTTAAGATGCACCAAAAGTGTTTGTCACCAACGCAAGTGAAGATTGATAACCATCTCCTTTTGAACACAGGAATCAGGTTTTTTACGCCTGATAGCAGCAGCATCAGAAGAATTCAGATGTCTGGAGTTTGGCTGTTTAGTAACCGACCTGATGTCCTTTAGGCAAGAAATTTTCGTTAACTGTACTGTTCAAAGTTGTTCTTTCTCTTGTTCTAAAGCTTTATGAAACACGCTCAAAAAATATATGATACACCTTTCTTTTTGTCAAACCAATGAAGCTATTTTTGCAGGTACAAATAAATTTATAAGCGCGGTTGACGACTATACGAAAAGGATACTTGTCGACCTTTGATTGAGTTGTTAAACATGTTGTTTTTAACAGAATTATTGTTTTGGCTGCCGGGTAAGTTTTTGCTATAGCAGTGCTTGCAACGTCATCTCCTTTGAAGTTTAGATTTATAGATATTGGATATTTTCGATCATAGTCACTTTCATTTTGTTTTGTTTAGGTATTTTCGTATTTGTTAATAAATTTCTGTTGGTAGCAGTTACCTCTTATATATTTTTCAACTTTCATCAATTCTTCTTCCAGTTTATCGGTGGTACGTATCCTTCCTACCCTATGAAATAGTGTTTCAAACAATGCTTTTTTGTAACCGACTGGACAAAAACTGTTGAGAATCAGGTAAAGTCCGTCCCAAGTACTTTTTTGATAAACCGAACGTTGAGTTGTCCCGTATACTCCAAGTTTTATGGCAACATCTAGGAAGTGGAGCATGTCATTCTTTTCGTGTTCCATAATAAGTTGTATGCTAGTATGAGCATTATTCAAGAGTTCTAACATGTAGATTGCATGCTTTTTGCTGTCGCAGACAATTAACGTGTCATCAGACAATCTGGATTATTCAGTTGTTTCGGTAATTGCTTGTTTAAGCACTGTGATCTCAGGATACCCCATAAAATCATCTGCCATAGTTGAACCTAGTTGACTTATCATCGCTACTTCATCGACTTGACGAAATATGGTGTTAAAAAACTGGAATTGTACGTCTTCTGTGCACATTAGTAGTAGTAATTTGAATTCTGGAACTAGCAAAGGTATAAGATCGGAATTCTGACAAATCATGTCAATAGCTTCAGAAAGTGTCACATCAAAAAAACCCATGAATTTACCGGCAACATTCGTACGATTTAGTCTATCAGCAAGCTAGAATCTTATAACGTATGTGTTGCTAATCTCCCACAGACTGGCTCTAGCTTCATGCTAGCCAGCATGCAACTTTGGGATATGGTGAACTGATCACTGATAGGATAGGTCTAAGGGGAACGTCTTGTTTGTAAGCTTTTGGCAAACCACATATATGAGGCAGACATGAGCCGCGTAGTCTTAGATGATTGTAAGTAGAATTAGAAATTATCCTTTTTATAAGTTCTCTAGGCATACCTGTGATTCGTTTTCATGTTGAATCAGCTAAATGTTTATTGGATGTTTCTACCTTGAATCTCAATTAGCCGTCCAGGTTTGAATTCATTTTATTGATGTAATCAGCTGTATTCATCAGGACAACACCTGAATCTTTATCCTGTTGTGGGATTCACTTCATTATTTTGCTTGGTGTTTCTTAAGGCTGTCAGAATTTCTTTGGTAGAATATTCGACTTCGGTGTTGATAAAATAGAATATTGGTCGGCAATATCAACTACGTTTCAATTGAACCATCACTTTTTTGCTCATTCATTGAAAGCAAATCTTTTAATCCGTTGGTCAAATATTTTTTTCTCTACAAGATATTCTGTAGTTGGAGTGACACTAGTATCACCCCCATTTACCAAGAATTATGAATAAATATATTGTTCCTTTGAAAAATGGCATTATTAGTTGTCTTCCTCCTGTAATTTTTATAAAAATTAATGCTGAGTTCATTCGATTCTGTCGTGAAAGTAACTGCCCAGTACATTGGGTGTATGGTAGTCAAACAGAAGTCTTCGAAAGAATATGACGACTATATATCGTGGTAAACAATTTTTCAGGATAACTAGTTTTTTAGGCATTCAAGATTGATGCTCGCCTTGTTAGTTCGACTAGATATTAACAAGTTGAAGGTACTCGGTCGGGCATTTATAAAAGTTCTCTTGAATAGCTATGGTGGAGCATTTCTTTTATTCTAGCTAACCAGTTTATGAGCTCTTTATTATCTAGCCCCTACACATGCTCAAGAACCACCATTCCACTACTCTACATTGTGTTGCGGGTTATCTTGCTGGAACACCTTTATAATCAAAGGATACCAACCCAGTCAAGTCAGAGGTCAAGGATGAATGAACTCAAATATGCATTTAGAATTTTGTCGATATGTTGAAAAATGATTGTTTTAAGGTGGCTTGTAGTTGCAAGGAATGCGTAACGCGCGTACTCACTTGCGACCTGGTGCAAATGCGTGAGTGTCCAGTAGAACCAATGAGGTCAGTATCAATGTCGACGACTTACGGGACTGTGGGTTTTGGGCATTTGTTCACCACTTCAATATGTTTGACTAAATTTAGATTATCTGTTCGAACTAACAAAATTGAGTGAGGTAAACCAACTAGTGTGACGTGATTTATCAAACATATTCTTTTGTGCAAGGCTAGAATTATCTTACTTATCAGTATATGTTGTACACTAATGGCGGAATATGCGATATTTTTGTAATCATTTGAAGTCGCAGTGGATGCTGTTTCATTCAGTTCATCAGTTCGTTGCATGTTTTGGTGTTTGAATGAACCTAAACATCCATATTTATACCGATTTCGTGTTGCTAATGTTATTTCTCTAGGGAAACAGATTAGATTCTTTCCCATCTTTTGCGTTATGATGGTGGTGGGTTGATCGTTTCTCACATCTTTGACTTTTGATTATCGTAAAGAGTTATATACTGTTCAAATACTTTCGTCAATTTTCCGCTCCTAACCATCATGTTTCCGCTTTGTTTAAAGTTGTTTTCATCAATGAATCTTGTTAATTACTGTTTGGATATTGCCTTCGTTTACTTTTACGTTTACCAGCTTCGTTGCTGAGCTCGTTTTTTAACTGATGCTTTGAATAAGCCCTTTAAATACTACTTCTCTTTTTAAAGGTGTTTTAGGTATACGTTTCAATTTTTCCGGGAACGGTAATAAGATAATTCCTTGAATGCAATGCTAATATTGGTTTAGTGGATGGTTTAAACTGTCCCCAAAATGCAGCTAACTGATCTAAACAAGAAGACTATCAAGATCATTTATATTACCTAAGAAAACGTTCAGATGATCCAGAGTTAGTTTGGGGGGGGGTATCCTAATCTCACCTCAGGGAATAAGTTAATTGTATTTTCCATGTTAATTGAGGACTCCTGATCTGGTTTGCCTTCCTCCTTACAGTTCAGAAAGGCGCTTTGAAACTCAATACTCAATGACAACGAATTAGCCTAATTTGCACCGATCAATTAACAACTGGAACGAAATATATACGGCGTTTTTGGATGGATTCCATAAATATTGCGTAACTGGAAAGGTCTTTCTTCAAGCGTGCTATATAGGTTCACAATCGATTGTGAGGATCACATTGTCCAGTCACATGAAACTCACTGGTCTTTGTCATCATTCTTAAGAGATAACTTCAAATATATTCATTGCAATTTATCTCGTCCCTAAACATCAATACACATGTGGTGGTATTTGTTCCTAACCACACGATGCTCAAAGCTAAATATAAGATCACTGGAAAAGCTAACATTCAGTATTTAACGCGGAGAGAAGGTCAGTATTATTATCATTATTCACAAACATCTTATGGGTACATAAGTGTTGTGAAGAAACCATTACGGGTTTGTAATATCCCAATGAGTAGAAAATTAGTTCCGTTGTACTATTTAAACTTGGATTAATTTTAATTTGGTTATTTATTCTCTGAAGAGGTGACTTACACTAAGCCACAAAACGTCAGAAAAACTAATTTTCTACTCATTGGGATATTACAAATATATTATTTATTTATAACAATGAACCCAATGCACAATTTATTCGAAATTATCAAATCAAACCTTGGTAATGATGCCTACATTACGGGTTTCTTCAAAAATGCGATAATACACAAGTTTCAATAATGTTGACATTATATTCGTCATATTTGAAAAAAGAGAGTAGTAATTATAGAATAGTAATAATAAATCAGGTTCTATGTAATTCAGAAGAATATTAAATTGAATTTAAAGAAGGTAAGGAAGAAAATAGTGGAACAGAAATAAAGGAGACGTGAGATATGCGAATAGATTTATAAGTGTGTTTATGAACACAGAATAAGAATAAATCACTAGAATATTTTCCTTATTGCGTAGATTGTGGGGTGATATCATAGAGTATGAAGGGGTGAATACTAAAGAGTAGGAAATACCGTCAATAGGCCGGTAGATAAAGACAGGGTTTAATTTGATACGTCTGATCCAGAGAGG